TTATTTAACCAGAATAAAAATTTGCAGGTCCTGCTAACCATCCGTGAAATACTTATATGATGAACCGTTGTGAACTCATTACCATCTACCGTGATATCTTTTGCAATTTTGTTGTTATTTTATGTGACAATAAGTTGGAGATATTCTGAGAATGTATGAGAGTACATTTTACGATAAGTTGACAGTTGGTTAACTAAAAGAAGTACAGAAGTAGTTTGATGTAATATATGATAAAAACGTTTAGGTGGCACAAGTTTTAGACAGACCTCCAAGGTCAAGGACACTTAGTTGCTCTAATATCTTGAAAAAAATACTGGCTCAATGGTAACTTGCTGGCAGCTGAACCCGAAGGTCCTGGGTCCAATCCCTGGTAGGGCGAGTCATGAGTGAGCACTGCTGGAGAATCCCATACTAGGATAAAAAAGCTGTCCAGTGCTCTCAGGTTTTCAGTGTTCCTCCAACTGATGTCAGTCCATGATGAATCCAAACTCGAAATCAACTAATAAAACTCCACAAATCTCCAGAATGAAATAAAGGTTTTATCTTACCAACGTATCTAATCCTATTACACAATACTTTGGTGATTTACTATTTTTATCAGTTTTAAGCCCCTTTCTTAGTTATGTATACTCCATGAACCATTCTATATGTTACGTAATCTACTTTGTTACTATTCATACTTCAGCTGTTATCATAAGTATGAATATCTCTATCATTTTCACAGTTATTATTATTAATTATTATATACTGTTTGATTTTCAAATATTCATCTTTCCAAAGTAGTAATTTATGCTTCCTCCTTCCCCCCCCCGTGATGAGTTACAACTCCATTGTACCTTTCAAACTAAATTACCCATTGGGTTTTTGTTCTACCTTACTTGCACAACAGAAATAAGCCTCTCTGACCAACTTGCTAATTCACTCACCTACATTCTGTTAATCTTTGTTCCACATCACAATCCATTTGGATGGTCATAAACATCACCATGTGTAGTAAACGTGAATATTAACCTGAAAACTTAATATTAGATTTATACTCTCGAGAAGTATCTTCTTAGCAAGATTAAAAAGTTGGGAAATAATACAAAATGTAAAATAGTTTATTTTGTTATTTATTCTAATAAACTACGCCGGGATTACCTATGATCTTTATTGATCTTATTTTCCTAGTATTTTCTTCCTCAGAAACTTTTATGATAATATCGGCAGTTATTGGTACATTTTACTGATTATTTTCTTTGTTTCGCAAAAATATCTTTTGGTGAGAAAGTTTCTCATTCTCTCATATTTTTCGAATTGTTCAAATCACAAGACTGGTAACTAATCTTCTTCCCCTTCAGATTTTCATCTATTCTGCTTACCTGGTTGGAAAACTACATTCTTATCCTCTCACTCCTGACCACTTTTCCAAATATACTTTTTTCAATGTCTGCTATTGCAAAACAAACTTTAATTGGTTAGTTTGCTTTTGAAGACACCAGATCATATAAATTAGTCAGGTTTCTTGTGTCATCTTGAATTTTACTCTTCAGAATTATTGATATAATGATACCATTAGCGACACCCCTTTATAATTTTCGTACATTTCACTTCATGAAACGCACATCATTTTATTATCCACTTATTAATCATCTTCCTAAGAAACGTTAACGTTTGTAAACAGGTTAGCTAATTTTCTCAATTTCCATTGGAGCTTCTAAATCACTAAAAGCAATGCAAAAGTGGTATATTTAATGATCATATAAATTACTGGGCATCTTTTTGGCATAGAAACCTTATATAGTACAGGGACGTGAAACCTGAATGTTTTTTTATGTGCCATCGATTTGCACAAAACTGTCAAAAGATCAGAGGCAGTTATATTAATTTCATTAATGAAGACGGAAAATCAATAGCTCCAATTGCATGACTTTATCTATTCACTGCAGTTATGTGCGTGGGTTATGTTTCTTGACCAGTCGACACATGGAAAAGAAGGTGGATAAAGTGAAGAAATGTCGGTCTCGGAGACTTTTATTATAACAGTTAGCTGCAGGTTTCGGAAAAAACGTCATTATCAAATAACGTCAATATGAAATAATAAGTGAAAAATATGAAACACCTAGTCAGTAAACAATGACACTGCATCTAAGGGTATCTATTCTAATTTTGAAAGTGCTTTACAGCAACTGAAAAATGAAAGTAAACCTCTAACTGCTTGCTGTGTAGGATAACAATATAACTGACTTTCTACTAGGAGAGGTATGTTCGTCTATAGAACTACTTCAGTTGTGAGGGAGGCAAATAATGTTGTTATCGCATAATGTGAATTTATTAGTTGAAATGAATGAAGGAAAATTCGTTGAAATGCGTTCGCCGATGAAATCCATAGTAACCGCTTTACAAAGCCTTACACTGTACTTCAGATACTCATTGAGAATCTTTAACGCAATTTTAATTACTCTATTGATTATTTACATCTTCATGACTTACTTAAAATCTATAATTGTTGTTTACCGACCCCTCACCACTTGATTAGCATCTTGATTGAAATGTAAAACAACATATTATTGTACAGCCCAAGATGAAGACCTAATTGCAAAGGAATATATTTTTTCTCCGCTTTTTCTAAATGTCTAAATGGGAATATTCTTTTGAGCATTGAACTGCATCAAAGATTCTCAATGAGTATCTGAAGTACAGTGTAAGGCTGTGTCAGGGCTGAAAAAATTATACGATATATGTGGACAAAAGTGCTATGCAAACCTTGATTAACGAAAGGTAGTTCATAATAGAAAGTAATCAGGAAAATATTACTGACTGAAAAGTCCAAATGAAAGAAAATGTTGATCTGGATCAAAGTTATTTATCATCTACCTAATCAGACTGTTTTTGTAGTAAATTGGAAATATTGAAAAATGGAACGGAAAAGATTTTGGAAGAGAATATGATATGGTGATAATGTGAATACAAAGTTGTGACTAACATGGGTTGAGGTCAACTCAGTTTGAATCAGATAATAAAATTGTTGTAATAAAATTAGAAATTAACATTTGACTGGTTGTAAGAAGAAGATGAAAGCAAAAAGTAGAACTAGTTATATTAAAAAAGGAAACAAACTCATTGGTTTCCATGGCTATCTTGACATAATTATTCACAACAAATTGTTTCCGAAATGATGTCAATTAATTACCATTATTTCCTGCATTATGTCTATGGTGAAGAAACCAAAATGGGAAATAAGTTGTTGCCTAACAAATGCATTTTTCTAAATGCGTGTGTTCAGCTAGATTTTTCTAGCATAAATTTCTGCTGATTAGATTAACACTAAAACTGTACCCGTCACACAAGAAATGGCAATCGTGGCTCGGTGGTGTAGTGAATAACGCTCTTGCGTTTGAAGCAATCGCTCTCGAATCCGAGTCCCAGTGGGAACAACATCACTCACTGGGAGGCAGGTACATGCAACTGACGAGTCCCAAATAGGACGAAATGCGCATCCTGATTTCCACTGCTAGCCATTGCCCATCATTACTATACACAATGTCCTGTTTGTTATCAATGTTGAATATGCTGAAATTTTGGACACTGTCCTGAATCCATCAAACGTCTATAAATGAAACTTTGTAGACTTTTTGTCCAGTTGGTTAATAACATTAGTAAAACGTTTTTTGAAATGTTGGTACTATTTATAGATAGTGGCTAGCAGTGAAATTCAAGATATGTATTTCATCCTATTTAGGACTCATCAGCTAGTGACCCTGTTCCTAATATGACTTGAACTCGAGGGGTAGCTATACGCCTCCTGGAGGTCACTGTCAGCCGCTGATTATGTTTACTATCGCACTCAAACAACCGGCAATATCGAGGCATCTACAGAGAAGCCCTTATAGTTACAGCGGCCAATCTCATCCATCCAGTAAACAGCGGAAAAACCACATACTATCACATTTAATATAGGTACTTTAGTTCACTAACAGGTTTTTAATTATTCATAGTTCAGTATCTAAGATCAAATATCCTAATAAATCTTTTGTAGAGTAAAATGTTTGACAGAAAATTGAAAACATTTCCAAGGAATAATGACGCGCTGGTAGCTTCAGAAAAAACGGTTCCGGTGCGCCAACCAGTGTCGGCTAAAGATTTTTTCAGAGAAAGCTAATTTATATTTAGTATAAGCTGGAAGTATTTTATGAGCTTCTGTATTCTAGTATAAGTCATCGTGTGAGTTGGATTATCGAATAAGTATTAATCAGCCAGGTTGGTTGTTTTTGTTTCAGCAAATAACCATTATCAAACTTCCTTTCTGATATGAGGATTTTACCGGCATGTTTTAGTACACCGTATTTAAATGTCATCAGCAAGACAATATATCTCAGTATCATTATTATTAAGGCATGTCTTAGCGCTCCCTATTTATATACCGTCGGCTTGAGAATGGACCTACAACCCACATATTTCGCATAGGTAAATGCATCGGCCATCTCAGCTTGATCATATATATATATCTGGTAATGATCCTTTAGAAGGAAGCTGTTCAGTTTCTGTCCACTAATATAATACGATTTTATCTAATTTGGTTAGCATATTCTGAGTGTCGATCTTCTTGAATATTAAAGTACTCCACTTCTGACCGCCTACTGTAGCTGTTAGTAAGTGATAGAAGTTTGGTGTTTACATGACCACTTCTGTATTAGTTTGGTCAGTTTTGTTGTAATTTCACCAAACTGTGGAAAAAAAGAATTGCGCTATCAAAGTATTTATCTCCTTGATTTATATCCAGCTTACACCGAATTCTTTGAATAATATGAAAGATTTCTTTGGAAAACGGTAGCGTTCTTCACATACTTTGAAGACATCTGTGCTACACAGATAATATATTACTTTTTGATCAGTAATGTTATGTGAGTTATTTGTATTCAGAAGATCCAAAAGTCCGTTAAGTAAAGACCAACGATTATATCCAGAATAAGAAGTTTCACGGTAATGAAATCATTTTGGGAAAGAATACAAAATTTTTTGCAGTAGTACAAATTTATTTTCATAGAAAATGCACATCATGTTAGCGCTTGGAGATTCACAGTTTGTTCATTCTGTTTATTTGTACTTAAAGCTTTCATAGAAGATAAATCTGGAAGGGCATTGAAAGAGATGAACAGCAGGGGTTGAAATTCAGTTGGTTCATTTATTTCTGTCCAACCTGATTTAGACAACATTTTCCCTTTCATCTCCATCTTGAGATTATTTTCTAATTCAGGTTACATGATATTTGCTGCATACGGAATCCGTTATGTGTAAAGCCATATATACTCGTCAGAAATAGATTTGTATTTATAAAATACTGTAAGCGTAGAAAAGTCAGTCAAAACAAAAGAAATATGGGTAATTCACTGATAACTAGATTGCTTAGATGTCCTATTATACTAACAATGGAATATTATAGTTTACTGTTACGACCGCATTTTATAAGGAATACATTCGACTGGTAATTATTTTATAAATCCGGGAGTTATGTTTCTGCTATTTGCATTCAGCAGGTAAAGTGAAATACTTTTCTATAGATAATTCTGCATTACTGTAGCATTTGAAATGAGGTTATTCAGATGAATCTTCAAAAAGTATCTAATGGAAGTATTCTTACAAATCTTTTTTGAGAGCAATGCCTAATTAAGAATAATGAAGCATATATATATATATATATATATATATATATATATATATATATATATATATATATATATGGTGAGATAAACTTGCTCTGAAAAATGTTGCACAGTAAATCATACTATATATATGTTCCCTACAGTTAATTTGTCTTTCAGTTGGTTCCTATATTACAATATGGATTCACCGGTTCTTTTCTGTAGCCAATGGTGGAAGTAATGAAATTGGTTTCGGTGATTCTTCACAATAACTAATGCACGGTAAACTGTAGCGTGTAACATTTTGTGTATTAGAGGAATTTTTTACTCGATTTGATCTACGTCTTAGTTCACTTGTTCTACATCCTTGTGGGATATCAACATAGTACATTGCACGGTAATTTTTAATTTGTGATGCATTTACTTGATCTTGATCTTCACTGTTTACTAAAGAAGACTTGTTGAGTTTTGATTCAGAGCCAAATGTTAAGCGTAAGCTAATCGGTATACCCTTCTTCTTTTTCTTTACTGACTTATTAATTTGATTCATTTCTTGTTCTTGATCTGTCGATAGCATGTCTTGCTGATTCTGTTGTTGTTGATACTCTAGATCTCCAACGGAGGCTACTCGTGTGATACATATTTCCTTATCTGTAGCAGCTATATTAAATGCAAATGGTGTTTCGGTTTCAATGCATATATCTTCATTTGATGCAACTCGACCAAGTAACAACTTGCATGGAGGTAAAGTTTGCAGTGGTGGCGTTCTATTAATTTTAAAGCGTTGTTGCTTGTGTTGTTTAGTTGGAGAGTTATTCATCAATTTTGAGGGCATTTTCAAATCCTGGTACGACTGTATTTGTTGAATATGTTCGTCTTGTGGCTTTTGTATATCATCGATTAAACTTGGTATAGTATTTAAATCCTTTTCCAAATTGCATACTATGGGATAATCCTTAAAGTAGTATTAAAACAAAAAGTATGTATGAGTAGTAATTTCAGCAAAATATGTTGCAATCAAACAGAAAGTGTTGAAAAATTGATTTATTGTTAAAACGTCTTCTTAGTTCCACTTACTTTTCACTTTTAGCTAGTTTTGCACGAGTTTTCTGATTTATGGATATATTTTTATCTACCTTTTTATTCACGTTTGTTCAAAGCAAACTGTACCATAGATATTCATTGAGAGACACTGACTGGTAAATGAGTTTTAGATAGACACGCTAACGGCAACTACAAATTGGCGATAAGACGACAAACCTTCGTTTACGAAGGTCTAATTATTTAAAAAAATAGTGAACATTTGATAGATTTGTAAGTTTTGTGTATTTTTTAATTTGTATTATAAATAATACAGTTACAAGTGCTAATAAGTTTCGGATAGAAGTAGTAGAGTTAGCCCATAGTACATCCGCGCTTCATTTTTTTTGCAATCCAAAATGACCGAGCCCCAGCATTTGATACTTTGATTTTGGATGTATTATGAAGCAATAGGAAAGAAGAATAAATTATCTTCAAGTTAAACAGTTAAAATACCAACTTGCTTATCATAAAGTTAGTCGGTTTTGCAATCAATACACTTTTGAACTCGAATATGAATTCGAAATGGTTAGAATTTAGTAGCCAACTGAATGTTATTATCATACGAATAATGAGAAAGCATATTGTGTATGAACAACTTGAATGAAGGAATAGTAGATAATATTTTTAAAGGCTTTTTTCTGTTTTCTATGACAGCTTACGAGTGATCCGACTAAAACATGAAGTCTCGGGCTCGTGATTTCAGCCATGCAGAGAAATGTAGACTACTCGGTTGGCGTTTGTATGACAACTGAAATAGGTTGTTAGAGACTATAGGTGATTTGACTTAGGATCAGTCTCAGTACTACAGGTGCATTTATATATTATCTTCATCCTAGTCATAATACCATATTTTGTTGCTTATTCTAACTCCTCTTCTTTTGAAGTTTGACAACTTTTCATCACATTTTTATTTTTCTACCCTTCACTTCACTACTTTGTCTCCCAATAAGATCAAGCGCTTTGATAAGTTGGAAAATAACGTCAGATTTCATGCTAATGCTGACCAACCGAATGGTTACGTGGTATAGGGAATAATATGATTTCTATCATTCCCTGTGGCTCCTCTGGCTTAGGGAGATGATGTTCAGCAAGTATGCCACGAGTTCGAGCCCCACTACGCCTACCAAGGTTTTGGAAGCTAGACAGTATCACTAACCCTACGACATAGGTATGGCTCGTTGCCTACTGCGCAAGTGTGCCCAAGGTTGATGACTGGATTTCATTTTCTCAATAATTCAATAAGAAATATTGAAAACGAAATGTATGGTTTGTCACAGTATGGGTGATATATAAAATGGTTGGGATTGCATCGCAATGAGGAGAATAATAAGAATAAGCTAGATAAGTGATGAGGAGGTTGTCGCACTTTATTTTCTACAGAAAATTGATATAGTAAAAAAATGTTTAATGGTTTTTCTAGTGAAGATGAAAATCAGAAAACAGGAACGTTGAGACAGTGCTTAAACGGGAAACCGAAGCGAAATATGCGAAAGAGGGAAACAATATCTAGTTCATGTGTAATCATTGAGGGAATAGGTGAATATACACTATTAAGATACCAAGTCTTGGCCAAATAAATACAAATGACCATGGAATCAGTGGTTTGATAGAGGTGTTTTGACAACACAATGGATTGGAGTAAAGTCAAGATTAATATCCATTTGATGTCTTGTGTCTATCAAATTTTCGATCACAAAACGTCTGACCCACACAACTTCGACTCCTTCGAATAAGTAAAGAAATCATTTTCGAGTTCTAAGGTTAGACTGTCAACTTATGCACCTCAAACGGATATTTACCTACTTTACTTCACAGAAATTATACAAACTGCAACTAGCAGTTTTACTTCAAAGTGTTAAGATGTATCCCACCGCATTTTACACTGTCTCAAACGTGGTATTATTTTTTCGAGTTTGTATCAAATGAAACCGGCTATAAAATACGGATTCATAGGAACCCATATGTCAACAGAGATTGAGCGATTTAGCTCTGTATAGCAACAAGGGATTACAAGTATCAAAACATTACTGATTCATACTTAAGTAGCATGTGTTTCAACAAAAAGGCAGCGCTTCATTGTCGATCCGCTGCCAAATTGTTAACTACCTATATCAGACCTATGGTTTAGGAGATAAGAGACTGGGTTAGTACTTTCCAAAAATTAATCCTTTGCAAACAGTTTCATCAGTAAGATTGTGAATGTTATCTTTTGAATTTTATGTGTTTATTAGTTCATATGATGCATCATTTGCCTCACAGAATTAAAGCGACCATCAAGTGAAAAAATTTTTTTTTACAATAACCACTTATAATTGTATTTTGCTAATGCCAAAGCCTAAAGTGGCTTGGGAAGTTAATGCATCTGAAGATGGATGGATTGGAGAGAAGTAAATAATTTGGAAAATATGGAGAAAAGGGACAAAGAAAAAGGCTTCAAACTTAGGAGAATTAGTTTTGTACACAAATATTGGAAGCACTTCTATGTTGAAGGTAACTATAAGTATTTACTTTCAAACTAGTTTTGCCAGTGTTCACTTCTAGAAAGAGGAAATCATTGTCTTTTGTTATGATGTCTTCTTTGAAACTAACTGAAACAGAGCTTTATTTAACTCCTCCTTTTCATAATGCTTAGTCAGATGTATTTCTTGCAAGAATTCGGAACTCAGAAATACTGTGGTTTGGTGAAAAAAATCGTATACCTATTACCTCTATATCATTGGTTGTTTGATATTTTACCACAGAAGGGTTGTTTATTTGTAATTGAAGGACCTAACGAATAATCAAAGTAAGTTGTAATCAATCCTGATTAAAGTGATTGGTGAAAGTGTTTAACATAATAACCATTTGGATGCTAGTTGGTTGGAGGCAATCGGCGGAAAGCCTTGGACCTCTGTTTCATGTTTGTTTGGCTTTCATCAGCAAGGCATATCTGTAACCTCAACAGAACTGATGTCATGCCTGAGAGAATTTGATTAGCACTCAGGACCAAACAGCATGAAATCGGTTACTCTTCCGTGACCAGTTAGTGTATAATAACTGTTTGTTGGTGTAAAACTAAATCATTATGAAACGAATGAATTGCGTACGGAGTAAAACTGGTTAGACTTCCTTAGGAGAGCATGGTTTGAATAATGCGTGGAGGTGATGCAAAGATAAATTATTTGTCTTTGATGGAGGGATTGGAACCGGGAGTTTATATCCTGTTTTACGTTGACACATTTGAAGGAACTTATTCGTAATTTTGAAGCAACCGACCATTTATACGTTCTTGGGCGTCGTAAAAAGGTAACCTACGAGAGCTGATTAACCTGTTCCTGAATGATGTAAAACTCATGAGAGTAGACTGGACCAGTAAGAACCAAAGAGCAGTTCAAATCTGAGAAAAAACGACTGGTTTGAAAACAGTAACCATCGTAGAAAAGACGCATTTTGGAATAATCTATTTGTTAGGGGATGCAGAAATTCATCAACAGTCTTTTTTTGGAAAAAAGTTCGTTTTTGAGATACCTCACAAAAAATGTCAGTCAGAATTGGGCTAATTGGAAAAATGAAAAATGGTAAATTTTGATCATTTTTCAACATTCCGGAAGCTAAATATACCTATGATTTCTTTTATGTTTATCGCTACAGTAAGCTGAAAATGATAATTGACGTAACTACAATGCAGATAAGTTTAACTAGAGGATAAACGAGTGAATCTATTGTTATGTTCTAGACTACTTATACGTTCTATAAACATCGGCATGTTGGACTAAAGGTTTACAAGCCTAGCCTATGGAAACAGTTATCTGTAAACAAAACCCAATGAACTTTCATCTCTAGCAGTTACAAACGAAAACAGACGTGAACTCAAAGGGGAAAGCATAAAGATATTAACCAGGCTAGACTGAAAAAAATTGTGATTCGTGAAGGCCCGTAATCAACGTCGGGCAGCTGCAGATAGGCACGTTGACATTGATCTAAGTGGTGAACTATTCAGAAGTAAAATACATAACTTATTGACCGAACAATGAAGTTGACCAATACATAGATTTTGATGATAGTCAAATCGCCTTTTTTTCTGATATCTCAGAATAGAATAAAAGACATTCAGTAAAGAACCAGTCTTTGTAGTAATGCATTCTCATTAATATTTCAGTTAATTAGCAGCTGAAATGAATATTTCATAAAGCATCCCTGACTTGTTTAGTGGAGGTTGTTTACCCTTCACTTGCAAAATACCTCTGTTATTTAAAGTATAAACAACCTCTACTGATCGCAATGATATTTATCAATACACTTGCTGTTGTGGAGTTAAGTAATTTGGCTGTATTTATTATTTGCCATCCAGAGGTATTATCCAGCACACACTAGCTTGGTTTCACAAAGAACAAAATAAAAAATTTTGTTGTGTGATTTTAGAGCATTTAATTGATCCCGACCAAATGAAAAATTCAGAAATTAACTTTGATGCTATCTGCTGGTTTTATGCAAACCTCATGGAAGAAGTGAGAACCGCTGACTCTTGAGATTTCCTAATGCCTCACGTTACTAAATTATTACATCTTTCTTTCACATCAAATCCTTCCAGCTTGGTAATTAATGTCCCCATTTTTTAAACTGTATTGAATTTTACCTCACTTATTTTTGTAACTCTAAATTTTTCCTGATGGAACTAAATAATTCCTTTACCGACCTCCTAATGTTTATTCGAAACTGAATTTATGGGAATACTTAATGAAATATTCCCTTCTTATTGCCGACTGAATTTCTACATGGTATTGTACAGCTTGATAACGATAGCGCTGAGGAGAGTGGCTCTTCGTTGAATGTTTTTGCATGTAAGGATTTTAAAACTAATTGGATGAAGATGTCTGAGGAAGGTTCTGGTAA